ATGAAACTATATTAAAAGTATTTTAAAAACCCTAGTAAAATGGCGACATAAAAATATGTCCATGTACAGGAAGATAAAGTATCACAAAGACACCAATTACTTACATTCTTTTAACAAAATCAATGGAATTCAAATCAATTTTTAATAAGAATTTTTATGTAACTCAATAGGATGTTTGTACTTGTAACTGATTCTAATATTCATATCAAAAGGCACAGGACAAATAGTAAGTAACACAGTCCTGAGGAAGAAGAATATGCAGGACTTTCCCAGTCCAATGTCAGGACTTATCATAAAGCTCTGCTATTTAAGTTAGAGTTTGTTTGGCTTGGGGTTGACAATCTGTCCAACAAAAATAGGACACTGCCCTAACCGGTTTGGCTCAGTGGATAGTGTCGGCCTGTGGACTCAAGGGTCCCAAGTTCGATTCTGGCCAAGGGCATGTACCTTGGTTACAGGCACATCCACAGTAGAGAGTGTGCAGGAGGCAGCTGATCAGTGTTTCTTTCTCATCGATGTTTCTAACTCTCTATCCCTCTCCCTTCCTCTCTGTAAAAAAAAAATCAATATAATATATTAAAAAAAAAAAGGATACTGATCCCAGAAACTGACCCCATGTATGGGGAGGACAATGTGTGACAGAACTGGTAATGCAGGTGAGTATAGGAAGGATCCTCCACATTAAAAGACAAAAGGGGGGGGCGGGGAGCATTGGAAAGATTCTACACAGAGTGAACACTAAGAAATTATATCATAGGCACCTGGCAGCAAAAAGGGTTTTTAAGCAGCAGAGTGGCATGATTTGAATTATATTTTGAGTTACTTCCTATTTTCATGGGTGACTATTAAAGGAATTTTCCCAATTTTCATTTGCTAGCAAAAGGGAAATAGCACACACCTATGTTGTGCATCCTTTTTAAAAAGGCTGTTAATGCCCTGACGGGTTTAGCTCAGTGGATAGAGCGTCAGCCTGCGGACTGAAGCGTCCCAGGTTCGATTCCGTTCAAGGGCATGTACCTTGGTTGCGGGCACATCCCCAGTAGGGGGTGTACAGGAGGCAGCTGGTCGATGTTTCTAACTCTCTATGCCTCTCCCTTCTTCTTTGTAAAAAATCAATAAAATATATATTTTAAAAAAGGCTGTTGCCGAAACCGGTTTGGCTCAGTGGATAGAGCGTCGGCCTGCGGACTGAAGGGTCCCGGGTTCGATTCCGGTCAAGGGCATGTACCTGGGTTGCGGGCATATCCCCAGTGAGGGATGTGCAGGAGACGGCTGATCGATGTTTCTCTCTCATCGATGTTTCTAACTCTCTATCTCTCTCTCTCTTACTCTCTGTAAAAAAATCAATAAAATATTAAAAAAAAAAAAAGGCTGTTAATTACTTTCAGGAAAAAATATCCAACTATTTGACTAGTCCTCTTTCAGCTTTCCTTGCAGCTCATATTTATTATAAGTTTTCTTTGGCTACACTGAAAGTCTCTGTCACACTTGCTTTCTATTTCAGTATTATTTATTTTCTAAACTTCCTTTTTCATGTGCATTATACAATACTTGCTCTAGGAATTGTCATTGACTTACAGACCATGGAATAATCTGTGAAAATCTATGAAAGAAACAAATGTTTCATAATTTACTTTGAAATATGCTTTATTCCTGCAAATACCATAATCTTTAAATTGCCAGGAACAATGTAATTGGGCATTTTGAGTATTTGAATCCAACAGTCAGATAGTAACATGAAATAAGTCATAAATCTGGGGGTATATGAGATTTGATTTTGAAGTATTCTTCCAAACAGAACAGCAGTTTTGTCCACTGTGAACCCATCCCTGCAGTCGCAGTGGGAATTGACCCCATCCTCATCTTTAGTGGAGGGCTTCATTGGTGACCCGTTTGGGCCAGTAAACTGTTAGGAGAGGTTCATGCTGTGATTGGGAAAGCTCTTCCTTCCTCTTTTGAAACTATAGGAAACTGAGGATTGGACATGAATGAGGAAGTATGTCACTTAAACTACCACTGGCCACTATATTACATCAGGAAAAAAGCAAGTCTCAGATTGAAGCTCACTTTGTGAATAGCAGAATGGAGAGACCAAAGAAGGTTAGGTATTTTATGAAAAGCCAGCTGACCTTTTGCATACATAAACATCCATTTGGAAGCCCACCCTATTCTTGAACTTCTTATTGCTTATGCCATTAAATTATTTAGTGCTGAAGATATTTGAAAGTTGGGCTTTCTGGTTATTTGTATCAAAAGCATACAAACTTATTCAAAGAAATAATTATAATATGAGGGCATGCAATTCAGATAAAGGTTCTTCTATTTGGAAAAATGAAAACCCTTGGGGCTGGGGGAAGCTCCTGCATTGAATATCTGCCCCCTGTTGGCCAGTGCACATCATAGTTCCACCGTTCAGTTGATTTGCATATTAGGCTTTTATCTTTTATTATGTAGGATTCTAGATAATGAAATATATATGGAATTATTAATTTACACTAGCCCAGTGATTTTCAAACCTTTTCATCTCATGGCACACATAAACTAATTATTAAAATTCTGCAGCACACCAAAATATATATTACATTTTTGCCAATCTGACAAAATAAATAGGTATAATTTTGATTCATTCACACTAGATGGTATTGTAGTGTTGGCTGTTGTCATTTTTTGACAAGCTAAGGTAAAACAGTGACCCTGACTAAATACTTAGGTATTGTGTGTTTTGAAAATTCTTGCAGCATAAGGTTAAAAATAATGAATTAAAAGGCTTTTTGAGTTAATAATTGTTGATTGAACAAAATATTTCTAAAGCATTTAAAGATATATAGTAGTTTATTTCACCAATGTTGTATATGTAATCATGTTGTCATATTAGTCTTTGTCTGAAAATATTTTATTCTCTTTCACATTTCTTTTATTTTTATGATTTCAGAGAGGAATGAAAAGGGAGAGAGAGCTAGAAATATCAATGATGAGAGAGACTCATTGATTGGCTACCTCTGCAGGCCCCACATTGGGGATGGATTCCACAACCCAGGCATATGTCCTGACTGGGAATCGAACCATTACCTCCAGGTTTATGGGTGGGCACTCAACCACTGAACCACTCCAGCCAGGCTTCTTTCACATTTTGAACTTTAAGTCAAATGGATATTTGACTTCATTCCCAATTTACTCAAATAAATGTCTAAAAACTTTTCATATTATTTAATGTTATGTGAAATTCTATTGCACCATGCCTTTAACATCAGCATTAAAACTTTACAAGAAGAGGATTATTTACAGGTCAAAAATCTTTGCAGTAGTTTTATCAGATTAATATCAGGTAAGATACTCCCAAAATGTGTTCCAGCTTTAACATTATTTGATTCTATAGCGTATTTTTGAGTAGTTACAAGAAAATGAACTACTGCCTGCAGAAGAAAAAGAATATAAATTCTAATGTCTCAATGACTGGCTCTGATTTCCAATTAAAGTCTCTTTTATAAAAGCTGTTGTGTTGCTTTAAAAAATAAACTTTATAAGGAAGAAATATCTGTCTATCATAGATAGAACAACTAAAACAATTAGAATGTCAGAATTAAAAGCACATTGTTAATATTTTCAATTTTTGGACCTACTTCTCTAATAAAGTACTTGATTAAAAAAAAACATGCATCCATCCTAGGTGGTTTGGTTCAGTGGATAGAGCATCAGCCTGTGAATTGTAGGGTCCTGGGTTTGATTCCAGTCAAGGGCACATGCCCTGATTGTGGGCTCAATCCCCAGTGTGGGGTGTGCAGGAAGCAGCTGATCAATGATTCTTTCTCATCATTGATGTTTTTCTCTTTCTCCCTCTTTTTTCCTCCCTGAAATCAACAAAGAGGAAGGATATATATATCCTGTATATATACATCTGCTTTATTGTCGTTTTCTGGCAGTATTTTGAGCCTTTTTATTTCTGGTTAAAAGGAAAAATAGCTTTGAGGCTTAGCTAATTATTTTCTTAGAGATTTTTTACAAGTTTGGAAATTTAGCTTTATTGAAAATTTATAATAAGAAAAACACTCCTTATAAAATATAAAATCTACAGAAGTTTTAAAGTAAATATTTCAAAAATATCTAACCTTCATGATCAGCAAACTAAAATGGTTTCATGAATTATCTCTTCTATTAGTTGTAAAAGAATAAACACTTCGGAAGTTTTTAAGGACAGAGAGTTGGTGTGCGTGAGCGTGTGTCACAGGAGGAGCAGAAGGGAGAAAGTGAATGAAAAGAGATACTCAAATCCATTGTTATAGATATATCAACCAACAGTGATTAATTAATTATGTGTTCATCAAAGAAAAGTAACTTTTAATAATATAAAATAATTAACACCTTATTCAGAGAAATAAGCTATGTTTCATTTAATCATATATTTATAAAGTTAAGAAATTAATTGTCAAAGTATTTTGCTCAAAATATCTCCATATTTTACTTGAAAGATTAAGGCTAATTAAAATATAATCTTTTAGAAGGTAAACAAAAAAAGAAAGAGAATGAGAGAGAATTTTCTTTTAAAGAAGCTCAGATAATATAATGTTGTTACAAAAGGGTGACAATTCCTTTACTTCCAATAATGTCTATCAGTGCTCAACAGCAACCCAATAAAATTTACAAATGACATAAAACATAATTTTGTACCAACATCTTATAGATGCAGTGAGTGACACTTTTAGAAATATTCCTGTGTCTGTTGACCTATAACATAAAATCTAAGTAAAAGCACAGTTATAGATTAATCATCTGGACAACCCTGCCTTCCACTGCGATTTGATTATGAAGCCCCCAATACATAGAAATATGACAAACCACTGTGACTAAGGCAAAGGAAATAGGTGCTCACACTTGCAATAGGCAGGAAAGAGTCAGATATGAGCCATTTCAGAAAACCTTATGCCAATGTTAGTAATGTGACACCCAACTATTGAGCATTCTATCCCAACCTAAATTACTTTTTTTTTTTCCTGATTCTACAGGTTTCAGTTGTATTTGTTATTATGGAGATTCCTTTCTAGAATTTCAGAATATATTTTTAAATCCACAAAATAATATTTCCCTAGAATTTCAGACCTTCAGCTCCTATGGACTTCCGCTCTACATCAAGCAAGACTCAAATTTAGTAAATGGATTTTTTATTCAATTATTTATTGAAAATGGTACTTTGCAGGTAAGCCATTAAATTTATTGAATTTAAAGTAAATTTTAGGAATTTATTGTAATTTTTCCTTAAATGCTCATCTTTCTGAAGTAGTATACTTATATAGATATATAAATAAATGGTATCAGATCATAGAAATTAAACAGATAAAAAAGATTAGTAGTAGCAATGTTTGTATTCATTTATTTTTTCAATCATTCATTGAACATTTATCTGTTATTTACTTTGCTAGGTACTAAAGATTCAATGGTAAATAAAACACATATTGTTCTCCTTCTGTTGCTTCCAGTTTATTACAAATAATAATAACAATGGAACCAGAGCAAGAAAATATGTAATGAAGAAGATCCTAGAATAAGTCATCAAACATCAGTCTGACCCTCTGAGATACAGTTTGCTGATCCCTGGTCTACAGCATTTTTTCTTAATTAAAACCAGAAATTTCCTTTAGTCTTATAATGATCAGAAAAAAATACAGAGACAAAATGTAAGCAATTATAAAGCAAACATAATATTGAGCGTCGGTCATGTTCAGAATGTTTTCTCAGCACATTTTCTGCTGCTAACTCAGCTGCCAGAACTGAGTGTACAGCTCAACTAGTTCCTCTCGCCGCTGTGGACACCTCCAATCACAGACATTACAAGGAATGTCCAGAGACTTGTTGGAGCTGCGGGTGAAAATATTTTATGAAATAATGGATTAGGAAACTTCTTTCACTTTCCAGTGGATAAAAATAACTTCATGATAGGTCGAGCCAAGACATTTAAGAATTGTAAAATGTAATAGGTAAAGAGAGGTGTAGAATTTCTTTCCTTTAGTTTTTATGACAAAGAAATGATATATATTGACATGTCTGTAACAATAATGACTATTGTTTATTGAATTGCAATTATGTGTCAGGCTCCATCATAAGAGGGTTTATTAAGAACATGGACTCTGGAGCTAGACTGTCTGGAGTTTGAATCCCAGCTCTGCCCCTTAAGAGCTTTGAGACCTGCAAGACACTTCAGGGCCTTCTGTCTCAATTTACTCACTTAAATTTACAAATGAGGTTAATACAAGTCGTTGTGAGGTTTAAATTAGTAAGTAAATAAATATCGTGAAGCAAACGCAATACAGTGAACAAATAAGTGAGGCATAGAAACACGTAGAAGAATGCTTGTGGCATGTTAATCAAATGTGTCACAAGGTTCCTGTGGACAAACTAAGGCTCTCAGAGAGTTTGGTGTTATTACACATGCTCTTCAATCTTTTTTAAAGATGATAGATCAATAAGTTTTACTCTGTTGTGTCAATACAAAATCCATGTTCTTTCCACTCACATCACTGTTTCCTTGTAATGATTTGAAGGAAATTTCATTATTATTCTATCTTTATGATTTTAAAATCTTCCTTGTCCCCCTATGATTTGCCAGACTATCCTCCAATTTCCTCATCTACTTTAAAGGTATAATCATATGGGGAATATATTTACATTACAATTTTGACAAAACTCATATTTGTGGTTAAACTTTTACAATGATCATAATTTAAGACCTATTCAAATTCTACACATGGAGAATTGTTAATCAAATAAATTTTAGGAAATTTAAGCTTTAAAGTTTTATCAAACTTAATTTGTAAAAACATTTTATTGTTTCTTTCCTATAAAAAGGAGGTAAGTAGATACATCTACAGTAGGGACTCAAATATCAGCCCCTCAACTTATTAGCTGTGTCACAGATTACAGTGTCTCCCTGGCTGAGGGCAAATCACCTATTTCCACCTCTGTTTGGTAGAAATAATAAAAGGATAATTCCTAATTCGTATATTTTTGTTTGGTTTTACTTTTGTTTTGTAAGGAAACAATCAGTTGATGCTTGTAAAGTGCTTTAAAATCCATGATAACAGGGTCATCAGTCAATAGCAGCAAATCTGTTTCCTATACAATTATAAATGAGCCATTTATGATAAGAGAAAATGTAAGTAAAATTAATAAATTGTCCATTAAATATTTTATGTATGTTTAACTTTGACATCCCTGAAGATAATAGAAATTACTATCTTAGTAGTACCTGAAAAATATTTTTTAAGTATTGTTGGTTAGTACGTTATTATTTAAGCTTAAAAAAACTATCTTAACCAACAACATAGATTTCTAAGTGTTATACATAAGAAACAGATAAATTATCCTCTGTGGTGTCAAAAGTATTAAATGTATTCTTTAGTAACTTTGGTTGTCTACTGGTCACAAGGTAAAAATTTCGTAAATAAACACTGAGTTTTACTTAGTTTCACATGGCTTGAGAAAAATATATAGCCAAATATTAACTTATTTTCCTGCAAAGTGCATGGAGGTGTATTTATTTTTGAAAATCTCAATACACTTTATAGTATTTATTAAAGTGAACTTGGAGCAGATAATATTATAAAGGAAAGAAACTTTTTGCAATGCCCAAATATCATTAAAAAATAAAATACATAACATTCTATTTCCTTTTGGGCTACATTTGGGAATATTTAAATATATCAGTTTAATATAGCTGGATGCATAGGGGTTATAAAACACTATGCAACTGTTTTTCTTTAACTTATATGTGGATTACAGATATCCTGTAGAAATGATGAAGACTATAAAGCCTTTTTCTGGGAAAGAATAGCCACAATATAACTGGTATACATCCAGGCACATGCTGTTAAGAGGATAAATAGGAAGTGCAGCCCACTCCTGAGATTCCCAGGATGTCTGGTCAAACATCCCAGTTATAGACATAATTTGCCCCTTTTAAACTATAACTCAATTGGCCCAATTAGCAATAATTCTACAAATGGCCATAGGTATCCTCAAGCTTTGGAAAATTTAGAGTGTATGGTTAACTTTCATAATCTTTAAGGTTCCCTTCCTGTTACGTTAACATTACCCTCTAGAATGTATTCACTGGTCTTATACATTGAAGGAAAATTGCCAATACCTGTTCCCTGCTGACAGAAGAAGCAGTCTTTCTCAGCTCAATGCTGGAAAAGAAACCAGAAGTGTGTGTGTGTGTGTGTGTGTGTGTGTGTGTGTGTGTGCACGTGTATGGTGTATATATGTATGTAATATTTATACATTTATGTATCTTAATCCTAGCCCTTATTAGGCGTATAACTTTGAGCTGTCACTTCTCTTTAGTTTCAGACTTCTTGTCTCACTAACACAATAAGAAGAATTATTGATGAATTGTAACGTCTAATGCAACTATAGGATGTTAGTTTCACACAGAAAAACTGAGGAAAACCTTTTTTTCCCCATAGCACCACTTTTTCTGTGCTGGTGAAGCAAAATTGCAAAGCATTAACACTACTGTTAAAGTAGATGATGGACAAAGGTATTCACTGCTAATCAGGTAAGATATACTTATTTTCTTTCCCACTTAATCTTTTAAGTAGCAAAGACTTCCTCTGGGTATTGTTCTTGCCATTTGAAAGTAGAAATTATCCTGATTAGTATTCACAGACACTTGTATGTGAATTAATGTTTATCAACCCATTCTGCCTTTTCTATGTGCCCTTAGAATAGTGCTGGGGAAAGAATGTTATAAGGATTACATTATCAACAAACTTACATAAGAAGATTATAACAAAGCCATAAAAGCCTCATATTATTTTCTGCTTACAGGAGTCATGAAAAAAAAAAACTGGTATTTTTTTATATCAAAATTAAATATATTTAACATTAGAAAATTCGGAACACCCAGAAAAACCATAAAGAAGACAATTAAAATGATCCATTATACAATAGTCAAAATAGAAAAATTAACATATTATTATATTCCCAAAAGCTGTGTTTGAAGGTGACTTTATTCAAAAACCCTCACAAACATCAGGTATCACTCTGCCAATCTGATAAGTGAAAGTGACATTTGCCCTTAATTTGCCTTCTTCAATTTTTAGTAAGGTTTAAATTTTAATATAGATTTAGTGTCTTTTTGTTATGTGTTTTGCCTCTTCCACCTTTAAGTGATGCTTTAAAACACCTCCATCCTTATCTAATATGTAGATTGAAGTAAATTATTTGGTTATGACAATATATTATTGTATAATAAAAGTTATTATCTACTTAACACCAATAAAGAAGAAAGTAAAGAGGCCAAAATGAAAACTGGGGAAAGAAGTTAAAGAAAAGGTTCTAAGGACATTTTACCCTCCTTAGACCAGAACTACCTAAATCTTGTTGTCTAAAGTACAGATTCTTAAGAAAATTGACAAAAAAATCCACAAACAGTTTATTATCAACAAAATTGAGGAAAGGCTACTTGACATATACCTCTCCTGACGAATGATAATGTGCATGAGCATTTTAAGATCTCTGTAATCCTGTTTACCAAAATCTGACATGCTTTGCTTAACTCAAGACATGGACACAGAACCCTTAACACTTATTTGCTTAGCATTTTCACTTCACAAGTAACTATTGTCGGGGGCAATGCACTATGGGAAACGCTATCTGCCTAGATAATAATTTCTCAGCTCAGACACTGCCACTGTCCTGGGGGAACAAGGTGTATGAGCACTGGGGCAGCAGTAGGAATCATGTCACAAAAGATATTTTGGCTCCTCCAGGAAACTGAAAGACAAATGAGAGGTGATGGGAGAGGCAGACGGATGCACCAGAAGAAGCTGTCTGGCCTGGGGTGTGTTGGAAAAGGTTTAAAAAATAAATGAGGACAGAGCAATTATAGTTACAGTTTATTATACACCAACTTTGTGTCCATTAGTAATTATATTACATATATGAATTTTTTGTTTCAAAAAGCAAATTTAATTACTAACCAAATTCCCCGATGCAAAACTAAAGATAACGAGATTAAATGCTGAAAATAACATAGAAAACAGCACAGTTCGGCTACTTTTACTCCAAAACCTATGAATAACTTTTAAGTCATGTGCCTTCTAACCAATTATAGAAAATATAATTTGATTTCTCATTTTCTATCCTGAAAGAGCCTCTGTATGTTCAAGATAAGATAAATACAAGGATTATAAATTACCTGCCCACTAAACAAAACTAACAGCAGCAAGAACATTAATTAACCACCATGTGCCAGATGCTTTACAAACACATAACTGTATGTAATCATCAGGAAACTCATAATGCCCTAATGCCCATTGTGTTGATTAGGCTGGGCTGCTTCACAACCTACCACAGACTATGTGGCTTAACCAACAGAAATTTAGTCCAAGATGAAGGTATTGGCAGGGTTGTTTTTTTCCGAGGCCTCTCTCCTTGGTTTGTAGATGACTGTGCTCTCTCTGTGTGTTCACATAATATTACTCAATGTGTATTTGTGTCCTATTTTCTTCTTATAAGGATATCCGTCATGTTGGATAAGTGTTCACCTAATGACCACATTTTACTTATTATTCCTTTGAAGGCTCTGTCTTCAAACACAGCCACATTCTGAAGTACTGAGGGTTTGGACTTCAACATATGAATTCTGGGGAGACATAATTCAGTCCAAAACACTCATTTTGCATATTTGGAAGCTGAGACTAGGAGAAAGTAGACATCTTTCTTGTTAGCCTGCCAGCCTGATCGACCCCAACTGCCCTCCCCTACTGGCCTGATCGCCCCTAACTGCCCTCCTCTGCTGTCCTGATCGCCCCTAATTGCCCTCCCCTGCCAGTCTGATCGCCCCTAACCACCTCTGCCTCAGCCACTGCCACCGTGGCTTTGTCCAGAAGGACATCCAGAAGATGTCCAGTCTAATTATCATATTACCCTTTTATTATATAGATTATATTTTAAGTCCTAATTAACATCTACCTGTGTTCTTGAAGAGAACAAAGATAGAAATAAATTAGGTTCTTTCCACCTCCTCAAATATGGGACTTTAAAGTTTTTTTTAAGTGCTTACCATTAAAAATGCATCCATGCATTTAAAAAGTCCCTTCACTTCCTTAATCTTAAGCTCCATGGTCTACGTCCTGATTTGTAAGTAAATTGCATAAACACCATCCATTCTCTTAGAGCTGTCTCATGGTGATTTTTTTGGTTTGGCCCTTTGTTTGGGGGTAGGCAGTTCCTGAACTAAGATCTGTACAGAAGCAAATAAACTAGGACAAATGAGAAACATCTTCAGTTACCCTTGAGAAAACCATTTATCAATTACTGTTTATGTATAATTTTGTAGATGTGTAATAAATTATGGTGAGTTTTTAAAGAGGATAGTGTTTATGTGACCAGTAAATTAGATTTAAGACGACTGACCTGTAACAATGAAACCCACACATTCTCTCAAGTGATATAGATGAATACAATTATTTCTGTTAAATGATGATAGGAGGATGTTTCTTAAGTCAGTAATAATATCAAAGGAGAAGAAGAAGAAAATAATGTATATTTGAAAGCATTGAGGTAGGAAAGAGTGAGGAAAAGATTGGAAGTACAAAGATAGTCAGTTAATATTGGACAATGAGTGCCACATTAAGAACTATGAACTACATTATATGCAATATTGACCTACTGGAGAATTTTTAAGTAGGAATACAGATATCAGGATCAAATGAGTATTCACTTTTCTTAACAGGGTATGCTAAGCTACGGTATATAATAGACTCTAAATTTCTGCACCTCTGAGATCCACGCCACAGTGTCTTCCTCTCTGCCTTAGTCCCTTGACATTAACGTGTTTTGATTACATTAGTGGGCTCTGTTTTGAAATTCTAACTTTCACTATCTCAGAATGAGACCTTACCTATTTTGAGATGAGAGTCTTTAAAGAAGTAATCAAGTTAAACAGAGGTTATTGGTGTGGGTCCTAACCCAATATGGCCAATATCCTTATGTAAAGGGGAAATGAAGACACAAAGAAAGCCACACACAGAGGGAAGACAACGTAAAGACACAAGAAGAAGGTGGCCATCTGTAAGCCACGGAGAGAGACCTGGAACAGATCCTTCCCTCACGCTCCTCAGAAGGAACCAGTTCTGCCAACACCTTGATCTTGAATTTCTATCTTGCGAAATTGTGAGTCAGGCAATAAATTTTATTTACTTAAGCTGCCCAATATGTGGGATGTTGTTGAGGCAGTCCTAGAAAAATAATACAAGTTCCCTTGTCCTCTGGCTTCCAGTGGGGTTCAGTCACTGGGGAACACTAGCAGGAACTTCAAGGGTGAAGCAAATGATGTCAAGATTTTGACAAATGATAAGCAAATGGTGTTCTCTTGGCCTTGTCTGGTATCCCAGAGGCTGACTCAGTCCCTCTAGGGCAGGGGTGGGCAAACTTTTTGACTCGAGGGCCACCATGGGTTCTTAAACTGGACCGGAGGGCCGGAACAAAAGCATGGATGGAGTGTTTGTGTGGACTAATATAAATTCAAAGTAAACATCATTACATAAAAGGGTACGGTCTCTTTTTTTTTGTTTGTTTTATTCATTTCAAACGGGCCGGATCCGGCCTGCGGGCCGGAGTTTGCCCACGGCTGCTCTAGGGAATGTCTAGGCTCTTGGCCAATGGCCCTCTCTCCCAAGTTCTGATAACTTTTTTCTCCCTAGAAGCCTAGATGTAAAAATGGCATCTGAGTAACTATCTTGTGGTCCTAGAATATTACACTATCCCGTGTGGCTTTCCTACCCTCTGGCCATATCTTTGTAAAGAGTTCATATTTATTTAACCTTATTTAAGTTATGTTAGATTAAATGTTCCATGTGTTGGGGGCTGAAAACATGAGTGTCCTCTAGTCAGTATGGCAGAAAATGAGTGGATGGTTCAGTGGGGTAGAATGAAAGTGGCCCAACTCACTTCTCATGGCATTCTGTTGGCCAGAACTCAATCATGTGCACACACCTAATGGCAAAGGAGGCTGAGAAAGTGTTTTTAGCTTTGCACCTAGGAAGAAGAGAGATCAGCTAAAACAATGTGGAATAGACAAGATAACTATTTCTACAAGAGAAAATAAGATAAATGTCTGCCTTTGGAGATAAAGACAAAAATAATCAGTAAAAAGTTTATAACACTTAGCAGTTTAATTTAAACCACAGTACTTATAGGTATTTTAATCTTGGCTCTGAGTGGGTTATTGAACTCCTTCTAAGAAGAAAATAGAAATTAATATATATAATATTTACTTAAGTATTTATAACTTGCTCAAAAATTCATGCAATATCAGATTACATGGTGTAAATAATTTCTTCATTTTATTTGTCTTTCTATGACTTAAATTATAAAACAGATAACTGTATTACTTAAAGTATGGTGCACAATGCTGAAGAATGATAAATAATTTCATCTTCACACTGTAAACCGTAAACTTTTTATCTCTTTGAGTGGTAGAAAATATTAAAATGCAGCAAATTATATATTTAAAACACAGAGCAGTCTGAAAGGAAAATTATATATATT